CCTCCCCCGCCCCCTGTGCGCCCCTGGCCCAGCGTGTGCGCGAGCAGGCGAGGCCCTGGAGAAATGAGGACGAGACTTAGCTACCTCACGGGGCTCTTTCCAGAGCGCAGAGCGCCTTCGGAGGGCTGGGTGGGGTGGCCCGTGCAGAGGCCCTGGGAGCTGGCTCAGAACCGCCCTGGTGGGCTCGTTCCTGGTTCCGAGAAGGGGACGGGAGAGGAAGAACTGTGAATTCTCTGGCCGGCAGCCCCCCAAATAGGGAAGACAGCAGGGTGCCTTCCTCCGGGAATTCCCACCGAGCACCTGGAGGTGCGGACTTGGTCTCCCCAGGAGGACCCGGCAGGCATTTCCAGGAAGGGGAAGCAGTCTTCAAACACGTCCCTCCACCCGCCCAGCTCTCCACTGCCACCTGCTGAGTCCGCCCTCCCTGGGTGGGGCCTTGGGGCAGGTTTGGGGTGGGTGTCTCACAACTGAGGGAGAGACAGGGGGTCCCTGCCCCTTGCCCGGCCCTGTGGATGGCATGGAGGGCACTGGGCCCAGGGCAGCCTGAGCTGGAGAGCCAGGTGGCCACGGGCTCCTGTTGGAGAGGCACGCCGAGGCAAAACCGCCTTGAGGGCGTTTTCCAGGGGAGGGGGAGTGCTGGCTGGCTTTACCACAGCAACACTGTTTGTGTAATGACGTCAGCTCCCACCAGGCCCCTCAGCAACGGAACAGCTGGCAGGGCCTGGGATGCAGGCTGTAAGGGCGGTGGGGCTGGCGAGAAGGAAGGGGCTTGCTGGCTGGCTGGCCTGGCGGGAGCCATGGGCAGGCAGGGCAGGGGCAGCAGGCTTCCTGGGGCCACGACCATTTCGTGGTGCTCTCCTGCCCTCACTCTGGGCTCCCTAAGGGAAAGGATAGAGGCGGCTAGGCCAAGAAAGCCTGCAGCAGCTTCTCATACCTGGGGCTATCCCCAGAGCTGTCTTGGTGTCTAGCCTGGGCTCTACCTTGCGGACTCCCCAACCCCCTTCTCCCGATGTGTCCAAGACCCCCTTTCAAGGCTCTTAGAGAAACGACCCATCCCCAAGCAGGCAGCCCTAGGCCTGATGACTCACACAGGGGCCCAGCTTTGATGCCCTGGGGCCTTCTGCCTCCCCAGCCTGCTGGCCGGCTCCCCACCCAGCGTGCTGAATTGGAAGCCTGGCTCCCCTCACAGTCAGGAAATTGGTTTCATTTTCCCTGCATGAGTCTGCTTGTTCAAAGGTGTCAGGCCAGGAGGCGAACTCGGCCAACCCCTCTGCGAGGCCCCCGGCCTCCCCCAACGCCCAGGCATAATGGCTGCCATTCATTGAATACCTGCTCTCATGCACATGATCTCATCCCCGCTCATGACAGCCCCACGGGACAGGATGCTCCCCTCATTGTCACCACATGTCCATGGTCACATGGAGTCCAGGCCCCCAAGCCAGACTCTCTAGCCTGGTGGATCTCTTGGTGGACACTGCCCCTCTGACTTCCAGCATCTGGCTGGGGGAGGCACATTAATATTTTCAGAGGTGGCTGCAGGGGCTGTGGTAAAGCAGGGTATAGGCTCGCCCGAGGACAACACAGGCTGGCTGGCTGAGCACCAGGAAGGCAGGGCCCGGTGGCCCCCAGGAGGCATCAGAGAGGAGGGTCCATTGGGGGTGGCTGTGTGTGGGCGGGAGGTCCCATCAGACTGGAGGAGCCTACCTTCAGGTGCAGGGAGAAAGGCTTCAAAGAGGTCCTCTGACTATCCTGAGGGGTTCTCAGGTCCTTGAGACTAGAAAGGAGCGTGGGGGGCTCTCCAACTGAGTGCCCCCTTCTGCTGCCCACAAATGGTTGGTTGGTTCTGGTGGCATGGGGGGTCACACATTGGGCTGATAACCTCAAGGTCTGCAGTTGGAAACCATCAGCTGCTAGGAGGGAGGGAGACAAGGGCGTCCGCTCCCCTAAAGAGAAACCCAAGGGGGCAGTTCTACCCTGCCCTATAGGGGCCGTCTGCCTTGGTTCCTGGGCCGCTTTCCACCCTCCGCCATGGGGCCAGTATGGAGCTTGCTCTGCTCTACAGCGAGTAGCCTCATACAACTTGGTACCTGGTTAAATCCCACCAGTCTCCAGCCTTGCCCCTGGACTCAGCCCCTGAGAGAAAAGGGGTCCACCCAGTGGTCTGGCACCGGGTACTTCAGTTTTCACAGGCTGCCATCCCTAATTCACAGTCCTAATTCACAGTCCTCAGCCAGAGCCCAGCCCTCCTGGGAGCACAGACCCTCACCCTCAGTGGGAGACCCTGTCCCCAGGGGAGTGCTCCACTCCCAGCCCCGCCCCCAGGAGGAGAAAGAGACAGGAACTGAGGAGTTCCGGTTTGTACAGTTAGGGAGGGATGTAAGACGGGACTAGGTTTTGATTTTGCAGTGTATTAACCAGAATTGTGCTATGTAGGTATTTGAAGAAAAAAACATACCAGACTAGTCTTCAAAAACAAAAACAGATCCCCAGTTGCCCTTCCTATCTGCTGGGTGGTCCGGTGACCTTGACAGCTTTGCTAACATACAGCCACGCGGAGGACTTGGGCTGAGGTGAAGGGGGCCTCGAGCCCTCCCCTGCCTGACTCAAGGAAGACAGTGGGCGGGGTGGGGGGGTGTCCTGGGCCCACTGGCAGGCTGAATCCTCTGTCTGGAGACAGCTGTGCGGGAGGCAGTATCCTCGGGGGGGGGGGTCCCCAACATCTGCTGTCAACACTGATGACCTCCCAGAACCCTGCCTCCAGATGCCTTCGTTGGGTTTGGGTTTGCAAGGAGATTCAAATCAAGAAAAGACGCCAACCGGTAGGGAAATGGTCCCTTCAGGAAACATGAAGAATGTTGGGGTCTCAACATCTAAAGGGAGCCCTCCCCTCCTCCCCAGGCCTAAGAGTGGTCAGACTAGACTCATCCCTGGGTCAATGGGCCGACAAGGCTCCTGGACAGGCCAGCCCATGAGCCCCAGCCATGCCATGTGTCTGCGGGCGGGCAGGGATACCATGTCAGACACTTCTCCCAGTCCCTGCTCCCAGACGCACTTCCAGCCTCCCACGGCTCCGATTTCCGGTCCCTCGGAATTGTAAATGTTTAGCTGTGACCATGACATATTGTTTGGGCCAGTGTTCCTCCCCAATGCATACTAATATATTATGGTTATTATATATGAATATATTTAATGACATGGGAAAAGTTGTCCACTTGCTTTTTAAGCTTCTCGACCCCTTCCCCCTTTTTTTTCTTCTTCCTTTTCTTTCTTTTTGGTTTTTGGCTAGAGTCGTAACGGACCCAGATGGAGTTTGTAATGTGGCCCCACATGGTAGAACTAAATTCAGATATCAGTTCAATAAACTCTTGTACACTGTTCTCTGACGCCGGGTCTTTCTTGGTGGCCTGGGCTCTGGGTGGCAGGGAGGGAGGAGGAGGAGGAGGAGCCTTCAGGCAGCTTAAGGAATGTGGCTTTTGGCCTGGGAATTCCCAGCAGATGGAGAGCCCAGTATACATAGCCCTAACTTTCTCCAAGGAAGGCAGCCTAAGGGGGTTTATTGGGAAGCCCGTGGGCCGCTGAGATCCGAAATTACAAGGCGCTCCTTCGGGACCACTCACATGTCACTTAGAAGCCCTGATGGCGGAGGGGGTTACACCCTGGGCTGCTAACCGAGAGGTCAGCAGTTCGACCCCAGCAGCCATCCCTCGGGAGAAAAATGAGGCTCTGCTCTCCTGAAGAGTTACAGTCTCAGAAACCCACAGGGGCAGTTCTGCCCAGCCCTAAAGGGTCCCGGAGCTGAAATCAACTCAAAGGCAGTGAGTGTTTGGTTTTATTTTTCAGATCCCCAAGAAACGACCCCAGCAACCCTCCTCGCCACTCCTGGGGTCACCAAGAATGGGGGCTGGGGGATGCAGGGAACAGTGACACGAGGGCTGCCCCCCCCCCCTACACGAACCCCAGGCGGCAAGGATCGGACTGTGCCTGGATGGTTCAGAACCCATAAACAGGGGTTTTCAAACGCCCAGTTTCCCCTTGTCCACATCAGTTAGACTTCAAAGCAGACACCCAACGGGGTGGCCTGGACTGTTCTTTTTCTTCGGCTTTTGCTGTAGCCTGGTGGAGAGCGCAGGGGCTGGGAGTCGCCGTGCCCCACAGCCCCCAGGAGCTGAGCTCACTGTGTTTGAGCAGCTATATTTAAACCTCTGCACGGGGGCGATCTCCATATTAAATAAATGATGCCGTCATTGGGAACATACTGTGCCAGGCAAGAGGGGGCCAGCTATCCCCAGGAAGCTGGCACTTCCGCATCCAGCTGTTTGAAGACCAGCCTCGGCCCTGGGCATGGTCGGCCCCTGGCAGTTGGGATTCGGCTGGGCCTGGGGCGTCTCTGGATGGCCCTCGCCCTGCAGCCTGGAGGGCCGACTGGAAGCGCCTCGAACAACCGCCCTCTGGAGGAAATGGGTCTAACCAGTCCCCTGCCAGGCTTGGCCACCCAGGAATGGGGGCTGGTGCACAGAGAGCCAGGTGTGACACCTGAGGCCACTAGGGATGTGTGTGGTCTTGGTGTCAGGGACAGAATGCCAAGCCTGGCAGCCTGTGTGGCAGGTAAGGAGGACACCGGGTGGAGGGCTCAGTGGACTCGGGAGGCCAAGGAGGGGCCCTTTCCCCAGGGCTAGCTCCTGCCCAGTGGGAACATTTGCTTAGTCGAAGGTGCCCTATGAGCCTGGGGCTTGGCAGTTTGCCTCAAAGCTTGCATCATTTGACTCAAAATGGAGCTGTCTTCTGCCCTCTCTGCCTGAGGGTGCCCTGTTTCCTTGGGACTCACCACAGCCAGCCCCCCCACCCGCTGTGCCTGGGCCAGGGGGGCAAGCACTGTTGATCAGCTGCTCGGACATCAGAATGTCCATTGTCAACAACTGTGCTCTAAGGCGCTCATTCTCCTTGTCTCCTGGGAGACTGACACCCTCAAACCCAAACGGGGTCGGGGTGGGGGAGACAAGCTAGCTGGGAAAGCCCATTTCTGGAGGCAGGAACATTGAGGCCCAAGGCAGCCCCATCCTCCCCACCAAGCCCCCAGGGTCCCCTGAGTCAGAGGCTCTCCCGTTCTGGGGTGCTCACACCCATGGACAGCCACCCACCGCAGCTCCTCTTAGCTTCCCAGAGACCATGGATGAACTATCCCTGTTCCCACCCCCCGCCCCCAGCCTCTAGGCTTCAGATTCTGTGGACCAGGCATCTCTTCCCAGGCTAAAATAAAAGCATTTAAGAAACACCCCAAGAAAAACCGGGCGGGAGAGGAAGAGATTCCGTGCGGCTGGGACCTCCACGGGGCTGCAGTCATTGCTCTCCGCTGCTGGCACCCAGCACGGAGCGAGCTGACATCGTGTGCAGCAATGAGAGGCTAAGCAGCCCAGTCGCCTTTCTTCAATGGGACAGGAAGTACTGAACTGCAGCCGCGCCTGGTAGACAGTGCAGGGAGCTGCGAGGTGACCCCCGGTGGGAAGCTCACAGCAAGTCGCAGGACCTGAAGCAGCAGGAAGTAATTATCTGCTACAGATAAGAGCCAGCAACACAGGGAATCCAGGATAGATAAACCCCTCAGGGCTAAGGAGAGTAGAGATAGCAGGAGCATAAGGGGAAGGTAGGGGGAATCCATCACAAGGATCAATTCTTAACCCCCTCCCAGGTGGGTGAATAATGGAAAAGTGGGTAGGCAGCGACGGAAGATGATGTGAGATATGAAAATAATAATCCATAACTTATCAAGGGTTCGTCTGGGGGGGCAGGCAAGGGAAGGGGAAGAAATGAGAAGCTGATATCGGGCTCAAGTGGGAAGAGAATGCTTTGAAAATGATGGTGGCAGCATATGTACAAATGTGCTTGACACACTGGATGAATGCCTGGATTGTGATAAGAGCTGTAAGAGCCCCCAATAAAAGTATTTAAAAAAAAAAAAAAAGGAGCGGTTTCCAGAGGAGAAAAGCGCTGTTTGGTATGACCTGCAGGCTCTCTGGCTGCTGAGTTGGGGGAGACCTGGCAGGGTTTTGCTTTGAACTTTTATTGTAATTGGTAGAAGGCTGACAGAGCAGATCACAAGCCTCATATTCAATAGTTCATGCACCTGTGTCTCACTCACCGCAGTCCCCAGTGCACCCCACTGCCTCCACCCTGATCCCACTGCCTCCACTCCTGACCCACTGCCTCCACCCTGATCCCACTGCCTCCACCCCTGACCCACTGCCTCCACCCCTGATCCCACTGCCTCCACCCCTAATCCACTGCCTCCGCCCCTGATCCACTGCCTCCACCCCTGATCCCACTGCATCCACCCCAGATCCACTGCCTCCACCCCTGATCCCACTGCCTCCACCCCTGATCCTACTGCCTCCACCCCTGATCCACTGCCTCTGCCCCTGATCCTACTCCTTGCTCGTCTCCTTTCCTAACCTGGCTGGATTGCGTCCTAGGATAAATGCTGCCCTTTGGATCCCCCCAAATGGTCAACTGGGAGGGTGTGTGTGATTGAGTGTGTGTGCCCCTCCTCAGAGACCTGGCATTTTGTGTGTCTGAACCCTGAGCCACAAGAGTGAGTGTGTGTCCAGGCCTGAACAGCGCTAAGGGCCATAGTCTTGGGGTTCCTCTAGTTCTGTGTTCTGCCCAGGACGCATGGCAAGGGCGGCTGAGACTCAGCGGCGAGGAACACTCTGGAAGAGAAATTCAAGATGGGCAGCAGGGACAAGAAGCCAGAAGCATCTTTCTTATCGAAGAACCACTGGCTAGTGGGAGACTGAGTCCAGGCCAGGCCCCAGGGTGGGGGTGGGCCCTGGAACAGCTCTAAGGAGAGCTAAGGTTTAGTTACAGTTTATGAATGAGCATGAAGTTTAAATGGAATAAAAAGTACCAGCTGTACCCAGGTATTGGTATTTCTTTGTATGGTCTCCAGACTCAAAATGTTTATCATTAATAATCAGCTAAGTTAAACAGTACTTACACTGTTATTTTAATTCAGTGCATTTTCATTGGGTTAAAAAAGCACGGGACCCTCGGAGGCCCTGTCTTGCCTCTATTGTTGACTTAAGGATGCAAGGCGAGCACAACAGTCCACCTGGGACTTCCACCTAAGGGGGGAAGGCCAGGCCTGCCCAAACCAAGCTGGCAGTGCCACCTTAACCTAAGAGGGGTCTGGATGCAACAGATCCCCAACTCCGACCCGCCCCAGACACTTGCAGGCGCCCTTCCAAGCGAAGCCTCCCTGCCTGATAGCCCTCCCAGGGCTTCCGCAGTAGACCCCCCATCTGCTTGTCTGTGGGATCAGAGCGGGGCAGTAAGTGTCCCGGGTCACACAGCTAGAATCGCGGGGGCCGAGCCTGCAGCACATTCAGGGCCCAGAACAGAGGCCGTTGTGTGCAGACACGGGCTCAGTGTTGTGGCTGAAAGGGCCTCTGTGGGCCAGGGCCAAGGACGCCGGGACTCTGGCTCAAAGACACTCCGGAGTTGCCGGGGCTCCGTGCTGAGCAAGTCAAGAGGAGGTGAGAAAGTCAAACAGACCCTCCGTGCGCCTCCCAGGAGCCCCGAGCTGGGGGAGTCCGAGTCACTGCTGCCGATCCCCGTGACAAAATGCGGCCCTGCAGATTCTTGTCCCTCCAGCAGGCGATCTAGTGGCAACCACACCGCCACAACAGGGAAACGCATCCTGGGGCCTGTGACTGTCCCTAAGCCCATGGCTCCGGTCTCCAACAGCCTGCCTCCACCACCAGATCCCAACACGGCTCCCCTCTCTCTGCCTCCCCGGGGGCTTAAGTGGCCACTCTGGGAAACCTGCTCCCAGAGCCCGGGTTTCCAGCTAAACCCCCAAGACCCAGCCCGCCATGGCCCGCTTACAGTTGGCAGCCTTCTCTGCCCGGCCTCCCTGTCTGCCCTTGAGAGAGCTTGTTCCAGATCCTGGGTGGAAAGGCTGGGCTAGAACCCCTGTACTCTGGAGTCACAGAGAGCCTTGAAGTTCACACTCAGGGAGTTTGCACACTTGTGCTAGTGCAAGAATCCTTTTCCTCACCCAGGCCACGTGAGGGACCAAGTACTGAAATGTGTTTACTCACCCATTCTTCACAATCACCCAATGTTTTCATCCCCCTTTAATAAAACCGCTGCCTCCCCGCCTTCCCCCAAGTTAACACTTGTCTACCTGTAACCTCCCCCCCCCCCCCCCCCCCCCCCCCCCCCCCCCCCAAGCCATCAGAGAAGGTTTCTTTTATTGTGAGCACATTGCCTTGACTTTGACCAGTAGTGGTCTGAAAGAACACTTGTCCTCGGGTGACTGATATCTGCATGGGCCCTCCAGGGTCCCCTGGGTGGGGGCGTCCTGCTGGCCCTTCGTTACTCTTGAATGGTGTGTAGCGTCCCTTGTGACCACGGGTCGACGTTGAGTTCATCGCCATTCTTACCGCCGTGTTCTGCATGAGAAGCAGCAGGCACCTCACTCCGAGGGAGTCCCTTCACTGCCAGTCCCTGGGGTCATGTCCCCTCTCCATCCCCCCACCACTCCACCCCCCCACCCCACCCCCCACACGCCTGGCTCTCTGCCTCTGGTCACTGCAGGGCCATGGAGACCTCCGAAAACCCTCCCACCGCTGCAGAGCCTGTGGCTAGTCAGAGGGTGGCTAGCCTGCCGGCGTGGGCTCTGGATGAGGACCTGTGTGCACATGCAGTACTGGGGGGGAGGGGGTGTTGCCATGGCTGACAGGGGCTGGGCCATGGGGAGAAGTAGGCAGGTCTGCCTCGGGGCCTGCACCCTGACCCATGTGCTAGGTCACCAGCCGATGGAAGCGGGCGGCTGAGAGGCAGCAGGGGCAGGTGGAGCTGGACAATCCCACCACTCTCTGGGAAAACCGTGCCCCTGAGGCCCCCCGGCTTCCAATACCCCAAGCTGAGGGGGCAGGGTCCCAGCCCTCTGATGGCAACCAGGCCACAGCTCTCCCTAGCACACCTGGAGGCTCAGGCCCAAAGGCTCAAGGGCCCAGAACGTAACACCAGGCTGGGCCACTCTCCTTCTGGTGGCCGTCTCTGCCAGCAGGCACTTCAGAGGGGACTTAGTGTCTGCAAAGTCAACAGTGGGGCTGCCTCTCCTTTTCCTGAAGGGCAGAATCTATGGAAGCCTGAACTTCGGAAGCTGCCCACCATTAACCGCAACTCGTTCTCCCCAGCACGGCCTGTTGGGGACAGTGCCGTTCTCCCTCGGCGCTCATTGTACACACACACACACACACACACACACACACACACACACACACACACACACACTCCAAGCCCCAGGATGGCTGGCCTGCTGGTCACCCGCATTCATCCACCCACCTTGGAAGATAAGGGCTCACCGTCATGGAGGAATTGGGAAGGAATGTTCTCCAGGGTCTGCAGGTGGTCCCCAAAGCAGAGCCCACGGTGTCCTGAGCAAGCCCTCCTGAAGGAGAGCCAGCACTCTGTGGTGCTGCATGCCCAGTCAGGTCACTTCCGGCCGCCCCTCTCCTACGTCCTCTTCTTGCTGTGCCCTCTGCCCTGACCCCCAGACACTTCTTCAGGCAGACCAGACGCTGGGGCCACCAACTGCCTGTTAGCTCAGAACTCGCAGGACGACCTGTCATCTATGGCCCTGACCAGGTGACCACTGCAGCGACTGCTGGACAGCCCCCAATGGTCCAGGGGGAACCCCACAGGGCCTGCACACCTGGCCTAATCCCCCATTGCTGAAGCAACACACGTGGAGAGTTTGGAGCACGGAGGGTGTTTATTGAGGGCAGCGTTTGTGTAGCGGGAGGGTGCTGGGCCTTCATCGGACGCTGGTGGGCGTCTCTGCTGGGGGTCCCTTTTCTGCCATTAGTTGGTGGGCCAGACGCCAACGACCACGATGGCCACCAGCAGCAGCAATATCACCATGACCATCCCTGCAAGACAAGCAGAAAGCACCCTTGAATGATCCCTACCCAAAAGCCCGCCCTTGTCCTGTGTGGGTGTGAGGAGGGGGGCCCAGCGGTCCCCATGCCCACTCCCTCTGAGGACAGTCTTCTGGGGAGGGGGGCAGATGTGGGAGAGGAGCCCGGGTCAGCGGCTGCCTCTTGCCCTTGGCTTTGCGGGCTGCTGGTAGAGAAGGGAGGAGCTCCGGGGAAGGCGGAAGTAGCCCAACCCCTGCAAGAGTCCCAGCACTCTGACAGCAGGACTGGAAGCCTCTGGGAGGCGGGACTGCTGAAGATGTCCGTGCCCCTGACCCAATCGGGTTTTGCGCTGCCGCAGTGTGGGCAAAGCCAAGGGCGGCAGCTCTTTACAGGAGTAGAAAGCCTTGGCTTCCCCTGCCGAGCAGCTGGCGGTTCAGAACCGCTGACCTCACGGTTAGCCGCGCATGTGTAGCCACCATGCCACCAGGATTCCTTAAGGGGACGGTAGAATTCTAGAATCCGCCCCGCCCCCCAAATTGATGTGGCCTCACCTTTTCTTTGTGACCCCAAGATCTCTCCCATCTATACAAACACCCTCTAACTGAGGGGCGTCTCCGTCCGTCCCAGTTTTCTGGGCCGGTCTTTTCCAGTGTTAGTGCCTGAAGCATCTGATGCACATCAGCCCTTCCAGCCACCCGCACGCTGCGCCCCACACCACCTTGCCCCTGCCTCCTGCTGGCTGACCCCTGGGCCATCGGTCGCCCTGGATGGCCAAGAGGAGCACACATCCTGACCAAGGCTGGGCCAAACGCGCAGGGCAGGGGGGCTGCGCCCCTGCCCCTCCCCGCCACCGGGCCATGGAGAGGCGGGCGTGCAGACTGGGGAAGGCCCTCTTCCCACACAGTCCCCCTGGACAGACGATGCCAGGCTGTCCCCCGGGTCCCCTAGAAGCCCAGCGAGGACAGCACTCCACGGAGGTTGGCAGATCACACCATCTTGTCCTGAGCATGTTGGGGCGGGGTGCCGGGGGCACGTGGGATCAGGTGTCTCAGCCTCACCTGCAGGCAGAGAGCTGGCACGTGTGCTGGGACGGCACCTGACTACAACTCGGACCCCACTTGGTGGGGGTGGCACTTACTCTGCCGGCTCTGCCCATGGCCGTCTCCTCTGGACTCAGCCTGTGAGAGGAAGGTTCCTTCAAGCTTTGGAAGCCCCTCCTTGCCACTTGAGCCTCGTGCCCAAGGACCCCCCGCTTCCTTTTGCCGGGTCAAGTCCCACCTACTTCTCAGATGCCTCCCTTCCCTTCCTTTCTGGGGATCCTGGCCCTCCCTGCAGCCTCAGCCACACGCCAGGCTGGCCTGCTCACTTGGCTCTTGCCGTTGGCCATGTTGGTCTGAGGGGTCTTGTACGTATTTACAAGTTTACATCTTAGGTTCAGGAAACGGAATATAGCACTCGTTGGTCACTCAGCCACGGACTGAGCGCCTGACCCCCCCCCATTCCCATCTCTCCCTCAGCCAGCCCAGCCTCGCTGGGCCAGCGCCGTCTTTGGCTCCTTGCTTTATGTGAGCCCGCATCCGATCTGTCTGCCCATGTCAGGCTCAGAGAGGCGGACTCCTGCACCAGATCTAAATCTGAACCCCTCCCGAAGCCCCTCTGATCCCTCTCTCTACTTCAGATGCTCTCCTGAGGGCCCATCACTAACATGCCAAGTCGTCTTACTTATCTAGCTCATTAGCTAAGTTCAAGTGAGAAAGGGGGAGGGGGGAAATGGCCTCCCAAGGTGATTTCAATTTAAATGAATTCAAATGAAATTAAACGCTCAGTTTCTCAGTGGCAATACCAAATACTCAAGGTCACCATCCTGGACAAAGACGGGGCAGTCCCCCCCATCGGTGCAGAAAGTTCTATGGTGCAGCACTGAGGTGGAGGGGGGTTGGACTCTCACGTGGCCGCCGCCCGTGGGCTGTAACTCACTCTGCACGGGATCGTTTTTAGGAATCCTGTGTTCCCTTCCTCTTGGGCTGGTCTTGCTGCGCTATTCATTTCCCTAGGACGTGGTCCGTTTTCCCTGGATATCCAAAATCATGGCATGGAACTGCTCATCACATTCTCATTTTAAAACGATGCCCTTCTTCTCATTCCCGACCTGTTACGCGTGCCTTCTCTCCTCCCAACCTTTGCTTTTCCGTTTGTCCTTTTCCAAGGACCACGTCCCTGGGGGTGATTCCCTCGTCTCCGGCTGTGATAACTGCTGGTTTCGTCTTTATTCATTTTTCTCGGGCTCTCTTTGGATTTCCGTTACTGGCTTTAGAAGTGGAACTTTTTTTTTTTTAATTAATCAATTTATTGGGGCTCATACAATTCATCACAATACATAGA